AAGAGATTGGATAAGAAAACAGGATCCAACATTCTGCTGTTTACAAGAAACACACCTCAACCACAAAGACAGGCACCTACTCAGAGTAAAGGGCTGGGAAAAGGCCTTTCAAGCAAATGGTCCTAAGAAACAGGCAGGTGTGGCCATACTAATCTCTAACAAAGTTGACTTTAAACTTAAATCAATCAGAAGAGATGGAGAGGGGCATTTTATACTCATAACAGGAACAGTTCATCAGGATGAAGTCTCAATCCTGAACATCTATGCCCCTAATATAAAAGCACCCACGTACATAAAAGAAACATTGCTAAAATTCAAGGCAGCCATCAAACCGCACACACTAATAGTAGGAGACTTCAACACTCCTCTCTCACCAATGGACAGGTCAATCAGACAGGAACCTAACAGAGAAATAAGAGAATTAGTGAAGGTAATGAATCAAATGGACTTAACAGACATCTATAGAACATTCCATCCAAATAGGAAAGAATATACCTTCTTCTCTGCAGCTCATGGAACCTTCTCGAAAATCGACCACATAGTCGGTAACAAAGCAAACATCCACAGTTACAAAAAAATATTAGTAACCACCTGTGTCTTATCAGATCACCATGGATTAAAGTTAGAATTCAACAATAATGCTACCCCCAGAAAGCATACAAAGTCATGGAAACTGAACAGTCAACTATTGAACCATAGCTGGATTAAGGAAGAAATAAAGAAAGAAATTAAAGTCTTCCTGGAATTCAATGAAAATAAAGAAACAACATACTCAAACTTATGGGACACTATGAAAGCAGTCCTAAGAGGAAAGTTCATAGCACTAAGTGCCCACTTAAAGAAAACAGAGAAAGCTCACATTGGAGACTTAACAGCCCACCTGAAAGCTCTAGAAAAAAAAGAAGCAGACTCACCTAGGAGGAGTAGAAGACTGGAAATAATCAAACTGAGGGCTGAAATCAACAAAATAGAAACACAGAAAACAATACAAAAAATCAATGAAACAAAAAGCTGGTTCCTGGAGAAAATCAACAAGATTGACAAACCACTATCCAAGCTAATCAAACGGCAGAGAGAGAATTTGCAAATTAATAAGATCAGAAATGAAAAGGGGGACATAACCACAGACACAGAGGAAATTCAGAGAATCATTAGATCTTACTACAAAAGCCTATATGCCACAAAATTGGAAAATGTAAAGGAAATGGATACTTTTTTAGATAAATATCATATACCAAAGTTAAATCAGGACCTGGTGAACAATCTAAATAGACCTGTTAGTCGCGAAGAATTAGAAGAGGTTATCAAAAACCTCCCTACCAAAAAAAGCCCAGGACCAGATGGTTTCAATGCGGAATTCTACCAGATCTTCCAAGAAGATCTAATACCTATACTCCTTAATGTATTCCACAAGATAGAAACAGAAGGGTCATTACCAAACTCCTTTTATGAAGCCACAATTACTCTGATACCAAAACCACTCAAAGACTCAACCAGGAAAGAGAACTACAGGCCAATCTCACTCATGAATATCGACGCAAAAATCCTCAACAAAATACTGGCAAATCGAATCCAAGAACACATCCGAAAAATTATCCATTATGATCAAGTAGGCTTCATTCCTGAGATGCAGGGCTGGTTCAACATACGAAAATCTATCAATGTTATCCAGCATATAAATAAACTGAAAGAAAAAAACCATATGATCATTTCATTAGATGCTGAAAAAGCATTTGACAAAATTCAACATCCATTTATGTTAAAAGTCTTGGAGAGATTAGGGATACAAGGGTCATACCTAAATATAATAAAAGCTATATACAGCAAGCCGACAGCTAACATCAAATTAAACGGAGAGAAACTCAAAGCCATCCCACTTAACTCAGGAACACGACAAGGCTGTCCACTCTCCCCATACCTCTTCAATATAGTGCTTGAAGTTCTAGCAATAGCAATAAGACAACATAATGGAATCAAGGGGATTCGAATTGGAAAGGAAGAAGTTAAACTTTCGTTATTTGCAGATGATATGATAGTGTACATAAGCGACCCCAAAAACTCCACCAAAGAACTCCTACAGCTGATAAACAGCTTTAGTAATGTGGCAGGATACAAGATCAACTCCAAAAAATCAGTCGCCCTCTTATACACAAAGGATATGGAAGCAGAGAGGGAAATCAGAGAAGCTTCACCATTCACAATAGCCAAAAACAGCATAAAATATCTTGGGGTACATCTAACCAAGGAAGTGAAAGATCTATTTGACAAGAACTTTAAGACACTGAAGAAAGAAATTGAAGAGGATACCAAAAAATGGATGGACCTCCCTTGCTCTTGGATTGGGAGGATCAACATAGTAAAAATGGCAATTCTACCAAAGGCTATTTATAGATTCAATGCAATCCCCATCAAGATCCCATCAAAATTCTTCACAGATCTGGAGAGGACAATAATCAACTTTATATGGAAAAACAAAAAACCCAGGATAGCCAAAACAATCCTATACAATAAAGGATCTTCTGGAGGCATTACCATCCCTGACTTCAAACTCTATTACAGAGCTACAGTAATGAAAACAGTGTGGTACTGGCATAAAAACAGAGAAGTCGACCAATGGAATCGTATAGAAGACCCGAATTTTATCCCACAAACCTATGAACACCTGATTTTCGATAAAGGAGCTAAAAGTATAAAATGGAAGAAAGAAAGCATCTTCAACAAATGGTGCTGGCACAACTGGATGTCATCTTGTAGAAGAATGAAAATAGACCCTTATCTATCACCGTGCACAAAACTCAAGTCCAAATGGATTAAAGACCTCAATATCAGCCCGAACACACTGAACCTGATAGAAGAGAAAGTGGGAAGTACCCTACAGGAGCTGGGCACAGGAGATCGCTTCCTATGTATAACCCCAGAAGCACAGACATTAAGGGCAACATTGAATAAATGGGACCTACTTAAACTGAGAAGCTTCTGTAAAGCAAAGGACATAGTCAATAAGACACAAAGGCAACCTACTGATTGGGAGAAGATCTTCACCAACCCCACAACAGACAAAGGTCTGATCTCCAAAATATATAGAGAACTCAAGAAACTAGACTTTAAAATGCTAATTAACCCAATTATAAAATGGGGCACTGAACTGAACAGAGAATTCTCAGCAGAGGAAGTTCAAATGGCCAAAAGACACTTAAAGTCGTGCTCAACTTCCTTAGCAATCAGGGAAATGCAAATCAAAACAACTTTGAGATATCATCTTACACCTGTCAGAATGGCTAAAGTCAAAAACACCAAGGATAACCTTTGCTGGAGAGGCTGTGGAGGAACGGGTACCCTCATCCATTGCTGGTGGGAATGCCATCTTGTGCAACCACTGTGGAAGTCAGTGTTTCGGTTTCTCAGGAAATTCGGGATCAACTTACCCCTGGACCCAGCAATACCACTCCTGGGAATATACCCAAGAGATGCTCTATCATATGACAAAAGCATTAGTTCAACTATGTTCATAGCAGTATTATTTGTAATAGCCAGAACCTGGAAACAACCTAGATGCCCTTCAATGGAAGAATGGATGAAGAAAGTATGGAATATATACACGCTAGAGTACTACGCTGCGGTAAAAAACAATGACTTCTCGAATTTTGCAGGCAAATGGATGGAAATAGAAAACACTATCCTGAGTGAGGTGTCCCAGACCCAAAAAGATGAACATGGGATGTACTCGCTCATAATTGGTTTCTAGCCATAAATTAGGGCCACGGAGTCTACAATAGGTGAACCTAAAGAAGCTAAGTAAGAAGGTGAACCCAAGGAAAAACATATAGTTATTCTCTTGGCTAAGGGAAGTAGACCCAATTGCCGGGGAGAAAATTAGGATTTTGGGGGTGGGGTGGGATGGGGGTAAGGGGAGATGGGGAGAGAAAAGGTAGAAGGGAAGGAGGGGGGACTTGGGGAATCAGGAGAATTGGGATAAAGGAAAGGTGGATAGGGGAGCACGGAACCACAATTCTTAGTTAAGGGAACCACTTTAGGGTGAGCAAGAGATTTGACCCTAGAGGGGCTCCCAAGTGCCCAACATGAGGTTCCCAGTTAGTTCCTTGGGTAGCTGAGGACTGGGAACCTGAAATGACCCTATCCGAGAGCAATACTGACGAATATCTTGCATATCATCATAGAACCTTCATCTGGTGATGGATGGAGACAGAGACAGAGACCCACACTGGAGCACGGACTGAGCTCCCAAGGTCCCAATGAGGAGCAGAAGGAGGGAGAACATGAGCAAAGAAGTCGGGACCACGAGGCGTGCACCCACCCACTGAGACAGTGGAGCTGATCTACTGGGAGCTCACCAAGGCCATCTGGACTGTGACTGAAAAAGCATGGGATAAAGCCAGACTCTCTGAACATGACGAACAATGAGGGCTGATGAGACACCAAGGACAATGGCACGGGGTTTTGATCCTACTTAATGTGCTGGCTTTGTGGAAGCCTAGCCAGTTTGGATGTTCACCTTCCTAGATATGGACGGAGGGGGGAGGACCTAGGACTTGCCACAGGGCAGGGAACCTGGACTGCTCTGTGGACTGGAGAGGGAGGGGGAGAGGAGTGGGGGGAGGGGTAGAAGGTGGGAGGAGGGGGAGAAGGGTGGGAGGAGGGGGAGGGAGATGGGAGGCTGGGAGGAGGTGGAAACTTGTTTTTTGTTTATGTTTTTTTTCTTCTTTTCTTAATAAAAAAATTATTAAAAAAAAAAAAAATGGCAATGTGTGAGAAAGTTTTCTATATTTTTAACTTTATTTGTGCAGCCAGGCCACTAGCATTTTTCATGGATCAAGCCAAGTGAGTTCAGATGCATGGAGAGCGCATCTCAAATGGTATTTTTCTCCTCCCCTTGTAAAAACTGAGTTCCTGCAGCTGACTACACTTCCCATAATCCCTCTCGGGTTTCATACCATTCAGATAGCTTTTTTTTTTTTTTATCACGTCTTAGATTCTGACAGGCCAGAGAGAATTCTGATTTCACAGGGATGCTTGCTTGCATTCTATCCTGATGCCGTCTAGGAATGCAAATGCTCAGTGTCACACTGCTAAGTGGAGAAAGGTAAGACAATTAATTACAGGTTTTTATAGTTCTTTTTTTTTTAAGTGCTTGAAGAAACGGTATCTTCTTTACAACCAATGTCTTTGTCACTTTCTTTTTCTTTTGCTCAAGCTCTGAAAATCAAAATGCAAAAACATTTTGGCAATAGTACTGGCATGTGCATTTGAAATGTGACATTAATATGATTACAAAGAATCCTAAGAGAAGTCTCCCTTAAGATGACAAAGGACTCTGAATACAACTAAGTGAATTGGGAAATAAGCTTTGCACAAATGATTGACCTACTCGAAACAAAAACATTAAGTTGCTATCTTGCCTGGTGTGTGTGCCATCACATTCACAGAAAGACAGAGGCTTTAATTGCACAGAGGCTTCCTCTCTTCATAACTAACACTATCTAACCCATATGAATTATTACTTCATTCTCAAATCATTTTATGTTAGAAAGTACTCTTTCACACTTTGCCAATGGATCTTAATACTTAATCTAAAAACATATTAAGAAAATCTTAATTAATTATAACAAAATTTATTACTGTGATAATAAATATCTTTTAAAAAACTACATCTTACTAATAGTGGATTAACCCTCTTTCCCCAATAGTGTGGATGGTGCTTCTGTCCTAAACACGTGCGTTCAAATGTTGTGCTTGACTGCTTCTGCCTGGGATTGGCATAACTAGTAGGGCTATATGCCAGGTATGTGGTTCACACAGTTGCAAATTATTAAATCAATTTTTAGCAATTAATACAGCTCTTCTGAAAAGAATGAGGTACATGCATCATTTCTTTTCAATACAACTTTGCGTAATTGGAATAAAATATAATTTGATCTATTAATCTAAAAGTATGCAAAATACTTAATATAATACAGAGAACAGCACTCTGAAATTGCAAAACTGTGTAGTGTGTGGTCATTTTCTTCTCTGCCCCTTCTCTCAAAGAACAGAGAAGAAATTCCACAAAACATAGTCCTAGAATAGGGTATATTAAGAAACAATGAAAGCCACAAAGAAATCCTGAGGTAGTCAAGACTATGTAAGTCAAGCAGAAAACTCTTAGTTAATTTAACTCTTTCTGAAACCTCTACTCGGACTCTGGCATTGGGCACAATTAATAAGATCACATTAAGCTATCCAGATTAAGTGTAAATAATTTTTAAGAAATAGGTAGCTATTCCACCTTCTAAATGGAAATTGGAGAATCTGGTTTTTATGGAGTTTCCTGTACCTGGGAAGATAGCAAAGTGGCAGTCTTTACAGTCTGTTCTGATTTAACTTCAGTGTGCTATATAGAAAATTACGTCTCTCTAGTCAGAGTTTCAATATTTTTTTTCTGCTTAAAATGGTAACAGTGCTAACAAAAACCAGGATCTAGCACCATACATCCCACTGTGATTTCATATATTCATCTTTACTTCTTTTAAACTACTGCTAACAATGGTGATACAAACAATACCTGGCATTTTTAATGCACAGGAATTAATATAATTGGAAGAAGAGACTGTCCAATCCTAAGTGAAACTCCAATGTTTCCACAGGTGAGCCAGGTCCAGCATTTTGTGTTCTTAACCTTCCGCTGTTTCAATCTTTGTAATGTTACAATACTTCTAAAACTCCTCCTTCGGCTCTCTAATTTTATTGAAGAAAATTATCTTTGGTCTCAGAACTGACTTGGGTCTTCTGTTCTTCGTAACTTCGCACTCTTTTTTTCTTGCTGAAATAAAGTTCTTTGCCATTAAGCTAACCACCTTTCATTGGGCGCCTTCTCATTTTCCCCAGTTGTTTCACTCCAAACAATCTAAGTTGATTAAACGTTCATTGTGCACAGCATCGAGATATAGGCGTGATTAACTCTCACTGAAAACACTTCCTGAGAACATTAATGGCGAAGACCGAAGTAATTAATTGTAAAACAAAGCATGTTGTCAACAGCGTCTGATTTCCTGTTCTAAAGGATGGATTTTGCTGCCAGACATGTTTCCTATACCAGATATTTCACCAACAACAGATTTCCCGAAAGATCTTCATGCACTCACTGAATACCTTTGGCTCAAGTCCAAGTTCTTTCAGAGCTTCCAAGTCGACTTCTAACTTCAAGCTCTGCCGAGGTATGCTTGCAGGATGGAGATGTAGTCACAATCCACTCACAAGGCAGTGGGACCTGTTTAACTTGAAGCAAAAGAGCGGATGTGTTGATGCCGCCCCTGTATGGGAATGGGCAACCTATGACTACTCTTTCTTCCTTCCTTTGCTCTTGCTTTCTCTTTCCTTCAATCAGAGCCTATCCTTGCATTAAATTCTGACTTGGTTGTGATAGTGAGAATCATCCTTAGGAAAGTGATAGTCACACTGAAGGGCTAGTCCAAGCTATCGTCTGCCATTCTTCTCCTTTCAACAAATCCCTAACTTTGAGACACTGAAAATTGATTCTTTGCAGCTCTGGCCCGTTATTGACAGGATTTGAAGAATTCCTAAATTGGTAGACTGAGTCGGGATCTGCTCTGGCCCAAAGGCTATCTTGACTGGTAAATGAGCATTTTATCATGTTAGGTCATAGCATGCAGGTGCTCAGTTTTGTGAACTTGTCACAAAATATAGTCACCAAAGAAGAGGACTCTTAAGTGAGAAGCTGTCTCTATCCCATTGGCTTGTGGGCATGTCTGTGGAGCATTCCTGTGATCAGTGATTGATGCGAGAAGTCACAGCCCACTGAGGGAGAGTCTATATTCTGCATGTATAAAAAAGCACACTATCGATCCCCCTTGGTTTCTGCCATAGACTGATCCCTTGAGTTCCTATCTTGGCTTGCTTGCCTCAATAATGGACCAAAACAAGCAGGTCAAATAAAGCCTTCCCTCCTCAAATTGGTTTTGGCTCATGTTTTATCATAGCAGCAGAAAAGAAATTAAGACATACCTCTAAAGCTGCCTACTTAATTTGGTGCATAATTGTACGTACAGAAATCATGACTTAATATAATGATAGAATGTACTCTGAGGCCATACTGTTTATGCTCTAGGTACAGCAGTGATAAGCACAGGCTGTCTGGTGTTGGACAACTTACTTAGCATCTTACTACTTTGGTGTTCCCAACTGTAAAATGAGGAAAATAGTTTCATCTTTGTAACTAGTTTTATTAGAAGTGAATTAATATAATATGTGAACAAATGTGGAGCATTGCCAGGGTTTAGTTAATGCTGGTTGGCCAAATGAATAATAAAAAATAATTCATTTGTTCCTGATTTGGAAAATGACTTAAATGTTAAGATCCAGTATTATGCCAGCCTGGTCTACAAGAGCTAGTTCCAGGACAGGAACCAAAAGCTACGGAGAAACCCTGTCTCGAAAAATCAAAAAAAAAAAAAAAGATCCAGTATTACACACCTTTGCATAGCTCATACACGTTACATGGGAATGCTATATTACATGTGTGCAAAGTTGGGATAGAAGTAACAGCCCTTAGAGTGATAGATTGGTGTCAATCAGATTTAAAGGTTGTAAGAATAGCAAAATCACTGTAACTATTATTTTGGTAGATTGTTTTCCCATGAATCCCATAATCATATGATGATAATAGAAGAATTTACAGAGAAATGTATGAACCAAAGATACGACATTGAAATTGAAACTGGCCCACATAAGCTTCATATAAAAGGGACATTCTTCATATAAAGGATTTTCATAGAAAAAGTTAACTGTGTCTAATGACAATTGGAGAAATGAAGGAAGCCAACACTACTCAATGTGGGATGCTTTGACATATCCATTTTAGATGGCTATAAAGCCTTCGTATCTTCCAAAATGTCCTAAAATTGTTATAAAACACACATTTTGAAAAGGTATTTAAAATTTTTCTTTCTGTATTCCAGTCTGGCTTGAAACTCTTCCTGTTGCCCATCCTGTCATCAAACTCATGGCTAACTCGGTCTCCAAATGACAGGACTAAGGCATGAGTCATAATTTCTGTTCCTAAATAATTTCTAAAGTAAATTTCTATTATCTATCCCCCTGAAAGATATGCAAAACAATACCAGCATTGTTGTAAACTGAATTGCTAGAATAATAATTCTCCACATAGCAAATACCACTGAGGCCATTGGTGTAAATGCAGCTTGACTCTTTTATTTACAAAAAGCAGAAATTTTGTCGCAGTCAGTTCTTGGGGAAGATAGAAAGCTATGTATAATACTAGCGAATAGAGAAGGCTCAGAGAATCCAACGCTATTAGCACCTTGATCTCAAGCACTATGAGGAAATAGCTTCGGTAATTGAAGTCACACAGTTTGTCCTAATTTGTTTTATTAGGGGAGACGTGGCAAACAAATACCAATAGGCGAAATAGCCTGTTCTCATTTCAATAAATTATAATGCCAAATTAAAAACCAAAGGGCCATTTTTAATTTTCATGATTTCCACAGAGCACACGCATTTCTAGTTCATCATCAACAAAGTTCTAGTGCTACCTTGACTAATTTCCCTAATAAATCACACAGCTCATCCTCACTGTTAGTTTAATCTACCACCACCTCTCTTTCATCCACCTCCAGCCCATCTCAAACCACATTGTGAAGCTCTGCTAGAGGCTCAAAGGCTTCCCCATGCTAATATGAAAGAGTCTTATTCTCAGTGTAGAAAACTTTCACTTTCTCATTGTTTCTTCTGCCTAATGTTACTCCAGCTGCTGAGCATCCCACCCAGATCTCAGCTACTCTCGGCCTTGTCAGCATCTTTAGTCATTCTTAAAGAAGGTGTTCTCGAGGAAGGGTTTTTACATTTCTTAATCAACTGATTGTTTTAAATTGGCTTGTTTTTATGTAACTATTACTATTATTATTATTATCTGAATGGATGTGAAGTCAGACCCATGGTGATGAGGATAGCTTAATAAAGAATACTGATTAGGATTTACACTGTACTACAATTGATTGTTGTTCTCAGAGTTGAAAACAAAAGCTGTGAAAAATATATACTTTTTGGTTCAAGATAGACATTAAAAAA